GTGATAAATTTTTATTCTAATAAAAAATTACTTAGAGAGAATATACAAGAGGCCTTATATAGGCGTAAGAGATCTTGGAGTAGGCACCAAGTCAATACAGATATGGATAGGGAAAACTATGTAAGGAAAAAAAAAATATTTATGGAAGTAATACAATTGGAAATAATACAACTCATGCCAACAGAATATCCATTTATATCCAAGACGTTTAGAACCAGGTGGAAGATCCACCAATTCCCAAGTATGATTTTGCATAATGGATTCAATTTCATTATTAACAGCCTCTTTCCATAAAGGTGCTTCAGGACCTGTCATTGCTTCCTTAAAGTTTTGAGGTTTATTTTCTAACAAGTATGTCAAAAAATCTAGACCAAAGGATTTTGATGTTTTTGTTCTCTTACTTCGTCTTGGTTCATCATCAGTTGAATCCTGCTGATCAAGACCATTACTAGTATCTTATGTTTGATTGTCATTAGTCTCTTGACTTTGTGTACAATCATAAGTTCTTTTCTGTGAACTTAATTTATGTCCTTTATTGTAAGGAAAAATATGTTCAAAAAACACAACATTTCTTGACTCTATAATAGTGTTCACATTTATATCAAGCATGTATGATTTATAAGTCAGAAACAGATAAGCACTACTATTCTGAGTATAACCAATAAATACACAATCCACTGTTTTTGGTCTTATTTTAGTCTTTTTCGGAATAGAAACTTCTACCTTTGCCAAACACCCCTACACTTTTAAGTATTTGTAGAAAAGTGGTCGACCTTTCCACAATTCATAAGGAGTGTTGTTAGTTTTCTTGTGGGGTATTCTGTTAAGAACATAATTAGCAGACAATATTGCTTCCCTCCACAAGTTCTGCGGTAAGCCTGAACTTAGTAACATGGCATTCATCATTTCTTTAAGGGTTCTATTTTTCCTTTTAGCAATTTCATTTTGCTGTAGAGAATAAGGTGCTGTAGTTTGGTGAATAATGCCATGTTGTGCACAAAATTCATTTAAAGGTGCATCATATTCACCACCTCTATCACTTTTAACCATTTTAATGGTTTTACCAAGTTGATTTTCAACTTCAATTTTATAGAGTTTAAACATTTCCAATGCTTCATCTTTACTTCTAAGCAAATATATATAATAATATCTTGTATAATTATCGATAAATGTTATGAAATATTTTGTGCCTCCTCCAGTTTGAACAAATTTAAGATCACATACATCAGTATGATTTTATTTTAGAGGTTCGATTTTTCTTTTAACCGATTTAAATGGAACCTTAGTTAGTTTCGCTTCTACACAAATCTCACATTTGTGATTAGGATCAATTTCAAACTTTGGTATATAATTCAAACCAATTAATCTACGCAAAGTATCAAAATTTACATTTCCTAGTCTACCATGCCATAAATTTGACTCAAGAATATAAGCAAAAGATGTGTTATTTTTATTAATAGAAAATATTGGTACAACAGTCATTACATTCAATTTCAAGAGACTATCACTCATGTATCCCTTACCAACATACATATCACTATTTGTTAATACAAATTTATCAGACTTGAAAACAAATCTAAAACAATTCTTACTTAACAAAGAACCATAAACTAAATTCTTTCGGATGTCTGGTACATGTAGTACGTTGTTGAGGGTAAGTTCCTTTCCTGATATCATCTTTAAAACAACTTTCCCTTGTCCAGCCACAACAGAAGTAGATAAATTTCCCATGAATAGTTGCTCACCATTTGCAGCCTCCTTATAAGTAGTGAACATCTTTTTGTTTGCGCAAATGTGTCGAGTTGCCCTAGTGTCAACCCACAATTCCTTAGGATTTCTAACCAAATCAGCCTCAGACACCACAGTAGAGAGATTGATGTCATTTACCTCGTTAGAGATGTTTTCAACTTCTATCACATTCGCTTGATTGGTAGTCTTCTTGCTTGAACTTCCGTGATCATTTTTAGGGCGGCGGTAATCAAAAGCACAATGTCCAGTCTTGCCACAGTTATAACATTTTCCTTTGAACTTTTTATTGCCATTGTTGTCGCCTTGTTTAGGACTATCTCCAGCAAACTTCCTCTTTTTGTTATGTGGCTTGTGCACTTGTTCAACCACATTAGCCTTGGACTCAATGGGATTTTTACCATTCCTCTTTTCAGTTTTCCGGTTATCTTCCTCAATTCTCAGTCTTACAATAAGTTCATCCATGGTCATTTCTTTGCGTTTATGTTTTAAATAATTTTTGAAATCTTTCCAAGTCGGTGGTAATTTTTCCACTAACGCAATGACTTGGAAAGACTCGCTCAAAGACATAACCTTAGCATGAATATCATGCAAAATTAATTAAAAACTTTGAACTTGAGAAATTACCGTTTGGGAGTCTACCATAACAAAGTCTAGAAATTTACTGACAACAAATTTCTTTGTGTCGGCATCCTCTGTCTTGTATTTTTTCTCCAAAGAATCCCACAATTCTTTTGCTGTTTTCAGAGGACTATAAACATTATACAACATATTGTCTAGGCCATTTAGGATGTAGTTTCTGCACAGAAAATTGAAATGTTTCTAGGCGTCTACAGCGGCAACAACTTGATGATCACTTTCATCATTTTTAAGTACTGGAGCCTCTTCACAGAGAAACTGATCAACATTTAGAGTTATAAGATAGAATAGCATTTTCTGTTACCATCTCTTAAACTTGGTGCCATTAAATTTTTCTAGTTTTTTCTCTATGATTTATTGGAACTTGGACATGATTCTAGATAGGGACCGAAGTCGTTGTAACAATTGGAGTACCAATTTTAGTTGCAGTAGCCATAATATCTAATTACAAAAATCAGAAAAACCAAAACACAAATTAATTTTCTAGTTACTAAAACCAAAAAATAAATTATAACACAAAATAATTTTACTTTTCTAGTTATTAAAACCAGAAAAATAAAATACTATACACTAAATTTCTGTAACACTGCTACATAGAATAATATTTTGAAATTGTTAACGACAACAGTTTATTCCTACTATATGTCAAAGAAAATAAACAATACAACAAAATTGACTTTTTACGGCATTATATCAACGGTGTTAGGTTTTTATTCTTGGCAACCCCGCTTGACAAAACTCCTTTCAGATGTATTTATTTTCGCACTTTTATTTCAGTGAGGCTATGAGTTTATTAGATGCGAATCCAAACACGAATCGAACCATGCAGAGAAGTTTGTGATGTTAATGCCTTCAAGATTGCCACTTCGCTGATTATTACGGGGGTCGAGCTGCCCGGTCAGCTCGCGGCCGAAGCAAAATGCAAAATTGCATTCAAAATTGCATGTCCGTCGTTGCTCGCTCGAGCCAAGGAGTTCTCGCTCGAGCTAGGGCTTGCTCGCTCGAGCCAAGGAATGCGCGCTCGAGCCAAGGATTGCGTCCATACAAAAACCTGAAAAAGTGTATTCCTCGCTCGAGCCAAGGCACTAGTAGAAATCATGAAAAATACACTCCTCGCTCGAGCCAGCAAAGCTTCGCTCGAGCGAGCCTCAGAATCCGGATTTTTCAAGGAGTTTGTTTTCTTCCAAATCTAGGATTACTTTTAGTTCTCTATAAATACTTGGTTTTCTCCCAAAACTAGGTGATTGATTGAAGTCCTCCAGATCTTCTTTTTGGTTCTTAAAGTTTATATCTGGGGATATTTTGTTTGTTTTCTTTGATGTTTTTATTGAGTCTTCAACTCATGATTTAAAGAGAGTACATCAAAGGTTTGTTTGTTATACACAAAAGAGAGAGTTATTCTTCAATTGTGGATTCTGAAGAATTCGAGCCTGAAGCTTTGGTGGAACCCGGAGTGGCTCATCAGAAAGACAATTCCGTGGTGAAGATGGGGTTGGAAGAGGCACATAGAGGTTGGTTCAATTAGGCGTTGTGGATTCGCTAGGTAATTGAGAGTATACCTGTGTAATTCCTTTAAATCTTCTTAGTGGATTGTTCTTGTGGCTGTTACCCGTGGTTTTTTGATCACAGTTGGAGGTGTCCAATTGTGATTTTTTCCACGTTAAATCGTTGTGTCTCTTTGTCTTGATTGTTTGATTGGGATTGTTATATTCTGCTTAAAATTGATACATAATCACAAATCAACATCTAGGGGATTTCTAGATTTTTCAAACGGTATACAATAAACGCACGCCTTCTCACTTTTACGACTTGCTTTTTTTGCACGTCGTAAATACTTTTTCAACCACAGTATGTCTATTGCGTAGGCCGTGAATGGTAATAAAGATGATTTTTTTACAGCTTGCAATGCTCGCCATAAATAATAAACTTTTCTACGACGTGCATATGACGTGCTGTTAATACATCAATTATACACAACGCACATATGTTAGCCCACTTTTCATGGCGCATACAATGCTCGTCGTTAAAAGAATTGCACTTTTTACGACGCACACATCGCCTGCCGTTAAAAGTATTGCCTTTTTACAACGCACCATGTCGTGAATTGTATGATAAAAAAAGCACCAAAATGAAATTTGGGGTGCCAATCACCAAAAAAAAAATATTAGAATTTTTTTTTCCCACACTACAACAAAAAGAGTCTTTGAAGACGAAAGTTAATGACGAAAATAAATTTGGTCACGAAAGACACACCTTTTAGTGAATAAAATAATATTAGAAGTATGATAAAAAAAAAAAATTAGATTGATATTTTAATCACATTTGATTTGATTAAGTGTGAAAATATTTATTATTTATACTTTTCAATTAAGTGTGATTATATATATATTTTTTTAATCACACATTCTAATTAACATGTGATTAAAGACCACGTAAAAAGAATTAAAAATATCTCACTTTTAGTAAAAGTATCATTAAAAAAATTAAAATAATTTTTTAATCACATTTATTTGAATGAGTCAAATAATATTTTTTTTAATCACACATTTTACATAAGTGTGATTATATATTTATTTTACTACTCTCTCTTTCTCTCACACACACGCACACACACAATCAATTCCCAAATTAAACCCTAACACACCTACCCCTCATCTCATCGTATTCAACATTTGTCTCACACTCGTCTCTTGCTCCTCTATCATTAGACTGCACCATCTCATTCTCTCACTTTGAAGACCTCAAACGGCAAGAGGTGAGGTATGTCTTCTTTTCTCCCTCTCGCTCTCTTGCGCCGCCGACTACACTCCCTTGAACGGCGATGTTTGAACGACGCTGCCCCTTCGTCTCTTGCACAGCTGATCGCGAGCAGAGCCAATCATGTCCTTCTCTCTGGTCGTTGCCCTCTCTCTAGTTATTGCCCTCTTCCCATCAGTCTCCTCAATCTTCCTTCCTCTGCCAGACTCGATCTTGTAATTCCTATCTTCTGTGAGTTTTGGTTTTTAAACGCAAAAGATAGGTTGCAATCTGAGAAATACAGAGAAAATAGTGCCAAGTTTTGCCAGAACATAGTGCCAAATCTTGGGGTTTATATAACACGAAAATATTTTAGCCTGTAGTTTATGATGTACATATATATGAACATATTTATAAAACAAATCTAGTGCTGTATTGTTTCATTAACTGGAAATATTGTTGGTGGATTTCTGTTAATTCTTCATCCTTTCATCTTCTTGTTTTGTAGATATTGTTAGAAGCTTCCATGTTTCTTACATCAATAAGCTACTGTAATATTACCATCTATCATAGTTTATATGCATTACGTACTATGCACATGCAGCAGGAGCTCTTTGTTTTGCATTGGAGAATAGATGAAATAACCACCCAAATTCTGCTTTCAAATTTGCTGAGTAGTTTTTACACACACACACACACACACACACAAAAACAAATCACCAATTTTGCATTAAAGTTGTGGTTAACTAAAAGAAAAGCACATACTTTGTAAGGCAATGCCAAAGTCTTTATCATTCTCTATGTTGCACGACAATCTAAGGCTTTTGCTGAATATGATTGTCTTCTCTATTGAAGGTAAATAAACATATGATCGGAAAAATCAAGTGCCCAAATTATATATTTCAAAAATAATCCCATTTTGGGTGTCTTACAAATACCAAACATTACTTGTTCCTACCTGTAAACTATGATTCGAAGGGTTGGCAAATATAATATGCCCAATCTCATGTCAGTTGCATGAAACAAAATCACATAAATAGTTTCAATAAGATAATGAATTGGAATTTTCTCAAATATTTAAAGACAAATATTCTTTGGGTGGGTTCTAAATGGGTGCAATTTGGATTTTGGTGAGTTCACGAGTACATGTTAGGCTAGCCAACCCTACTAATGTAATGGACCCTGACTATTAATGTTATGCATTTTTGCTACATTGGGGGTTCTAGGCTCAAGTGGTGTGATCTTATGCATCATGTAGGATCACGTGGTTGGGCTGTCATTGAGTCAAGCCGAGTTGAGTAGCCGTGCACGATGAAAATTAGTTGTGCTCAAGCTCAACAGAGAATTGTAGCTAAGCTCGGCTTAGTTAGCAGTGTTGGGAATCGAATTCAAACATGTCTATATTTATCTTTTGTGAGTCCAAGTTAGTGGTCTTTGACGTATTCAAAGTAATGGTATGATGTTTCAAATTATGTAGGGATGTCAAGTGGTGTCAAATAGTTGGATTAGGGAAGACTGATTGTTATTGCTCGTGGCATAGTTGCTATTTTTCAAACGTGTTTAGTGTTTCTTTCTCAATCTCTATGTCTAGCATATATTTCTTTCTATTGTAAAAATACCATGAGCAGTTGGGCAACTTGAGCTTTGCTTGTCTCAATTCGATTGTATAAAAGAGCCTAGCTTGAGCTCCCAGGAATATAAACAATACAACTCACACATATCAAATGTAAGTCATTAAGATACAAAAGAGAAAAACTACAAGACCAACAAAAAATAAAATAAAAAATGGACCTTTCAAATGCTCTGAACAAGCTAACTGGATGGACAATCACTAGCAACCTCAAATATGTCTTCATAATTCCAAAACCTTAACCCACCATAACCCATAAGCATTCACTGTAATATCAAAGAAACCCCAAAATTAGAAGGGGAAAAAAAACCTATTGAATAACGATATAAAATATACATACATGTATAGGAATTTAGATTTGTTAAAAGGGTTTGGTGTTTTGGTCATCGGGCTGTGTAGAGATATGGTGATTTGAACTCTAGGGTGTGTTGTGAAGCAAAGAGATGAAGGAGCGAAAGAGAGAGTTAAAACAGTGTTTGTGGCTAGCAAGTTGGGTAGTTTAAAATTCTCATTCCAGTCCTTGTAATTGCACATAAATAAATAAAAAAAATTAAACTGGTCTCATGCCACCACATTCACATCAACATGAAAAACACTATTAAATTCCAGTCCTTTCAATAATTAATTTTTTAATTTTCCCTTTTCTTCAGCATTGCATGCTTTAAGCTTGAAGAATATCACACTGCCAAGGAAGCATTGGAAAATGGTGCTTCTTTAGCACAAAATGAATCAAGATTCACCAAATTGATTACAGAGTGTGATGAAAATATTGCAGATATGTACATGCCTATACTTATATGTCGTGTTACTTCTATGTTGAATAACAGAACAAGCCTTTAATAGTTTTTATAGGTCAGTTTTATTTTTTTACTAAATTATTTTTCTGATATGCATTAGAAGTGTAGTTTTTTTTTTTTTTTTTTTTTTTTTTTTTTTTTTTTTTTTTTTTTTTTTTTCATCTATTGTTTCAATTGCTGCCTTTATCATTAGACTGCTGCCAATGCTAGCAGCTGCTTGCCATTGTGATGACAGTACTATCTTTGTTTTTGGTTGTTGTTGGCACCAATGCCATCATTTATTTTCCTTGATTGCTGTTAATTTGTTGTAACCAATATTAGTCTGTTAGATTGTTTTTTTTTATGCTAGATGGAGTATTCTACTTCTGGAGATACTGTCCTAGCTCCATATAGTTTTTTGACAATGATTAGTTAAACATGCATTCATACTATCAGAAGCCAAAAGAAGTGGTAGTGACAATATTTGCAAAGGGTGTACCAGCAGAAAATGTTTCTATCAACTTCGGAGAACAGATAGTAGGTCAAATCTATTAGACAATTTCTTCTGTTATGTCTTGTTAAATACTATTTTCAATCATTATTCTTGAATTTTTAGCTGCCTCTCCAAGACTTCATTATCTTCTAATGACAAGTTGATGTACTAATCAATTCTATTTAACTTTTTTGTGCAGCTAAGTGTTACTCTTGATGTCCCTGGTGAAAAAAAGTACCATTTTCAGCCAAGACTATTTGGAAAGGTATTGAATTTTACTTTGTTACATGTTCAACTCTTTATTGTGAAGTTTTGTTACTCTTCTAACACCTATCGCACTATGTTTTCTTTCTAGAGTTGACCTACTCTTTTGGCCTAGCTTCCTTCAAATTCATCCCCATAATAGCTATGATGGTATATTGCTATATTTAGATCCCATGAGGTGGGGAAAATTGGTTGATAGCTAGGCAATCTATCATTGTTATGTTTGTAAGGTTTAGGAAGTTAGTTTGTGAATGCTGTTTTGGAGATTGCTTGATCATGTTGCGATTAAGATATTTGACTGGACTGTTTAAGAACAATGGCTAATATATTTTGAAGTTGGGGGTATTCATTAAAATAAGCACAACACTTTGTCACATGAAACAAAATCGACGATTTAATTAAACACCAGAAATAAAGTTCTGTGAGGGTGATCCAAAAATAGTGTCTTTTTTGGGGCCATTGATTATCTTATTAATTTTGGAAACGTTTTGTTGATGTTTTAAAATTTCTTGATCATTTCTTAAAATCTCAAGAAATATTTTTGTCCTTGAGTTGTTGGTTTTTGTACTTATGTGAAGTTTCTTTTGTCATGCAGACAAGAAATGCAGCAACGTTAGTTGCTCCAGCTATTGCCGCGGGTTTAGGTGACACATACATTGGGCACTCTCGTCCTTGTGATAGGAGCAAGTGGATTTGCTACAGCTACAGCTGCAACCGCTATAGGAACTGTTGTCGGTAGTTTTAGATAATCTCTTAATAGTTGTCGATATGTTTAAAGAGTTAGATATGCATAGTTTTGGATGGTTTAAATTTTTTGTACAATTTAGAACTTAAGGATATAGTTTTCTAATGTTTGGAATGTATAGGCAATTGTTGAATGTTTATAATTTATGAATATAGTTTCTTTTTGATGTTTCAAACAATATTTTTATGGTTGATTGGTGTTTTGTGATTCTTGTTTGTAATATTTGTTAGATTGTACAAAATTGGTCAAATAGAACCTGTTGAATTTAAAAATAAAAAAATAAAAAACTGCATATTTTACGGTAGGCACAATAAGTCGTTGTATTATATATTTTACGGCGCACAATCAGCGTCGTTATTTGTTTCACCAATTAACGACGTGCAAAAGTAGTCGTAGAAAAAGTAACGACACACAAAATTTGTTGTTAAATAGTTTTTAACGGTGTACTATAGCATGTCGTAGAAAAAGTAATAACGACGCACAGAATCTGCCGTTAAATAGTTTTTAATGGCGTACGAAGCATGTCGTTGAAAGTGAATGATTTTTCATGACTGGTCATAATATGACACGCTCTGCATGTCATAGAAGGGTTTTTACCGCGTGCATTGCGCACCATAAAAACCCTTTTTGGTTGTAGTGATTACTACTATTTATCAAACAGTATATGACTACTATTTACATTTTCCAACCAGAATATTGCTTTGTAAAAGCACAGAAAAATTAATACAATGAAGACACAGAAAATAACTATGTTTTAAGATTGTTGGACAATCTTCATTGTATTCAAAGAATAGATTAAGGAGAGGAGAGAGACTATTTGATTACAAAAATCAAAACAGCATAATAAAATAAAATAAAAACAAAAATAGATTCTTATTTTTTTACTTAAACAAAATCAGAATCTAAAAAAGAAAAAAATACTTAAAACTGAAATTAAATTAATTACTTACCTTATTAATTTTTCGAACAAAATTTTTGATCAAGTCCAGTATTTAACACTGTGTTCTTAAGACAGATTCGTCCTCTCCAAGGTATTTTCAGATTATGTACGTCTATTTCTCAAGATAAAATGATCAACAATGAATAGTAGCAGTATTACAAACTATTCACACAACGAACACACTTAGTGTTTATACTATTTCTCACAAAAAAAAATAATGCAGCAAGAATGCAGAGAGCAATAGCAGATTTAGGACGAAATTTCTCAATTAAAAAATCAATTGAGGGACTGCCTATTTATAGATGAAAATAGTGGCTGTTTGGTTTGAATCCAACAAGTATGGCACCTGTTTGAACAGATCTGGTTTGATTTGAACAGATACAGGTTTGAATTTTGAATAAATAAAAACTGTTTAGGTTTGAATTTGAACAGATTTGGATTTGTTTGAACAAATATGTTACCTATACAGAAATTCTGAAGAGGTGCAAACCAAAATTTGAAATTTATTTCCAAACAAAAAATAAAAATAAAATTCAAATGTAATGTTTTTGGCCAAAAAAAAAAGTATTGGGCCGGACAAGCTCAACCCAACCCAACCTCACACCATGCGTCCAAGCCCGACCGACCGATTGGACGGACGGATGAACGGCGACGGCGGCACGTGTTTATTTTTTGGGTCCAATGGGTCTATCCCACTTCACCTATAACCTCTCCATTCTATAAACTTGGGGTGCCCCTTGGGGCCCTTCCCAAGTTGCAAACTCAAACCTTATAAACCCACAAAAGTTTGCCCACCAAACCAATATGGGACAAACCTTTAGTTCAAACCTTTAAGGAAACTTTACTAATATACCATTTCCATGGAACTCTCTTTGGCTTCAATTTTCCATTCACGTGATAATGGTTTTGAGAAACCAAATATACTATGTGAATTATAACGCGGCATAGAATCCGTTACCGCTTAGACCTGCCAACTTTGGCGTATGGATCCCACCTACGACCAAAGTTGAGGAAAAATCTAATTTTTCCAAAACCATTTCTAACAGAGAGAACCCTAGGGGCGTTGGGAAGACAATAGTAGCAGTGAGATGAGAGAGAGGTTACACAAAGTAGGTGGTGGCAAGGTAGGTGGCGGCTACGGTGACGGTTAGGGTTAGGGTTAGCCAAAAGCCTACAATTGGTGACTAAAACTAAGTTTGGTCGCTGATTATATGGATTTTAATGACTAAAAAATTTTTAGTAGCCCAAAGTAAAGCTTTTTGGCGACTAAAAAAATTTAGTAGCCAAAAGTCTACAATTGGCGACTAAAAATAAGTTTGGTCGCTGATTATATGGGTTTTACCGACTAAAAAAATTTTAGTAGCCAAAAGTAAAGCTTTTTGGTGCCAAAAAAATTTTTAGTAGACAAAAGTCTACAATTGGCGGCAAAAAAATAAGTTTAGTCGTCAAAAGTGGTCATTTTTAGGGCGAGAGAACTAAAATCCTAAGGCGGGAATAAAATTTTTTGGTGACCAAAATTTTGGTAGCTGAAAGTGCATCTTCGGTGATCAAATCCGATTTTGGTCGACAAAAGTTAAGGTTTTTAGCAACTAAAAAATAATTAGTAGCCAAAAGTATAGAATTGGCGACTAAAAAATATTTTTAGTCGCCAAAAGTGGTCTTTTTTTTATTTGGTAGTAAATAGTTTATTTTACATAAATTATGTTCAATAAAATAATTATGTTTATACATATACTTTTATATTAATATGGATGTATGTACTATATAAATAATATATGTTGCATATATAATCATGTGGTGGTATAGAGGTGTAGTGGGAAGAGTGTGGTGTATAAGGTTTATGGTGCGGAAGGTTGGCGGTTCGAGTCTCCGCAAGAGCGGATCAAATTGTTCTACAACGAATTATCGTCATGAATGGCACTTGATAGCGTCACGAATAGTGCCTACCATGACATTAAAGTGTCACTGAAAGGTTTTAGTCTTGATGGTGTAATGACACTTATAAGTGTCACTAACTCTTTTTTTAATGGTGCTTGATAGTGCCACAAATAATATCTACCATGATATCAAAATGTCATTGAAAGTTTTTAGCCATGATAGTGTAGTGGCACTTGAAAATATCTACCGTGGTACGGATACAAATGGCACTTGTCCAAAATGTCACAAGACTAAAAAGTGTCATTAAACCAAGAGTTTTGTGGCACTTTCAAATGTCACTAAATTAAGAAAATGTTGCACGACAATCTAAGGCTTTTGCTGAATATGATTGTCTTCTCTGTTGAAGGTAAATAAACATATGATCGGAAAAATCAAGTGCCCAAATTATATATTTCAAAAATAATTCCATTTTGGGTGTATTACAAATACCAAACATTATTTGTTCCTACCTGTAAACTATGATTCGAAGGGTTAGCAAATATAATAAGCCCAATCTCATGTCAGTTGCATGAAACAAAATCACATAAATAGTTTCAATAAGATAATGAATTGGAATTTTCTCAAATATTCAAAGACAAATATTCTTTGGGTGGGTTCTAAGTGGGTGCAATTTGGATTTTGGCGAGTTCATGAGTACATGCTAGGCTAGCCAACCCGACTATTGTAATGGACCCTGACTGTCACTACAGGAAATGCCACTTTTGGCGACCAAAATATTGGTCGCCAAAAGCCCCATTTTTGGTCGCCGAAACAATTAGCGACTAAAATATTTTGTCGCCAAACTAGTCGCCTATACCCTGTCGGCGATAGTATTGGCGACTAAACTATTTTTGGTCGTTGAAAGTGAATGTTTTGGCTACTAAACTCTGGTTAGTCGGCAAAGGTTATCTTTTGGCGACTAAAATATTAGTCACCAAAAGTGAACATTCGGCTACCAAGCTCTGAGTAGTCGGGAAAGGGTATGTTTTGGCGACTAAATATTTAGTCGCCAAAAGTGTTCAAATAAAATAAATTAAATTTTCAGCGACTAAAACTTTTTGTCGGGAATAAGTTTTAGTCACAACATTACTACATTTAGGGACTAAAGAATTTAGTCGCCAAAAATATTGAATTGTTAATTTTATTAAACTTTTGGCTACTAACCATTTAGTAGCCGAAAGTCTTCATTTATTTTTATCTACTAAATTTTTAGTCACCAAAAATCTTTGGATTCTTTATGGCTACCAAATATTTAGTCACTAAAAATATTAATTTCCTTTTTGGCTACCAATTGGTTAGTCACTAACAAATTTACTTCTATTTTTTTTCGCTACTAAACATTTGATTGCCAAAAACTTTATTTAGTTTTTTTTTTATTATAATTAATTTTTTCACAACCTGTATTTATTTCGTACAACCTGCACCCTGTATTTAAACAAAATAATACATATATCTATTTCTATTTCGTTTCAACAATACATATAATTGGCCCAATCTCATGTCAGTTGCATGAAACAAAATCACATAAATAGTTTCAATAAGATAATGAATTGGAATTTTCTCAAATATTCAAAGACAAATATTCTTTGGGTGGGTTCTAAGTGGGTGCAATTTGGATTTTGGCGAGTTCATGAGTACATGCTAGGCTAGCCAACCCGACTAATGTAATGGACCCTGACTGTTAATGTTATGCATTTTTGCTATATTGGGGGTTCTAGGCTCAAGTGGTGTGATCTTATGCATCATGTAGGATCACGTGGTCGGGCCGTCATTGAGTCAAGCCGAGTTGAGTAGTCGTGCATGATGAAAATTAGTTGTGCTCAAGCTCAACAGAGAATTGTAAGCTCGGCTTAGTCAGCAGTGTTGGGAATCGAATTCAAACATGTCTATATTTATCTTTTGTGAGTCCAAGTTAGCGGTCTTTGACGTATTCAAAATAATGGTATGCTGTTTCAAATTATGTAGGGATGTCAAGTGGTGTCAAATAGTTGGATCAGGGAAGACTGATTGTTATTGCTCATGGGATAGTTGCTATTTTTCAAACGTGTTTAGTGTTTCTTTCTCAATCTCTACGTCTAGCATATATTTCTTTCTATTGTAAAAATACCACGAGCAGTTGGGCAACTTGAGCTTTGCTTGTCTCATTTCAATTGTATAAACGAGCCTAGCTTGAGCTCCTAGGAATATAAACAATACAACTCACACATATCAAATGTAAGTCATTAAGATACAAAAGAGAGAAACTACAAGACCAACAAA